GTCTTCTTCTAACAGTTCTGTTTCGATTCCTCCCTTTACACACTTCTAGCCCTTTGACAAGGCTCATTTTTCAGGACAGAGGTTATATTTCTCATCAAAATGCTGGCAAAGATAAGGGCCACATAGGCCCATGGACCAGCTGATGGAAATTCATCTAAATCCCACACTGACGGTTCCCCACCAATAGCCAAGGCAGGCTATGCAGGCATGGCTTCGAGCCCATGATTCAGCAACTTTCACTGATTAATCAAGTCACTTCATTTTTTATGCATGCAAGTTTGCCCAAGGCAGCTGTGTTCAGTTGCTTTCTCGTCAGAACGCTAGCAGTGCTGCGGATGTCACAGGGTTTGTGATATTGATATAAATACATATAGATATGCGCAGGTTTCTGATTAGGTTGAGATTTTGAATACTCTTTAGTGGCGTTCGTTCAGTTGATAGAATCCCTTCTGCACATTTACATGCACGTTGTATCTCTGATGCTGCATTTCTTAATTGCCAACACACTTTATCTGAGCAAAACATGTAACAGGCCCCTTAGCATAAATTATACCCGTGTGTGTGCTGAGAGCCCTTCCCAGGTGTGAGGGGATAAACACATTAGAAAGCACGCACACCTCAGAATGAGTTTAAGGAGTCTTCTCATTTCTTGAAAAGTTCTGCTACGTCCCTTAAGAGCACCAGTGCAGAGCACATGGTGGCTGGGGCAGAGGGAAACTGTGTCCTGTGTTTCCTGCATGACTTCGTGGGTTGCTGGGGATGTGGTGTAGATTTCGAGATGCTGATGGGTTTGGTTTGGTAGCATTGTATGCGTGTGCCTTGAGGCAGCTCTGGTACTGAGCAGTGAGGCACGTTTTGCTGGCAGCCTTGGCCCACGGAAGTCATTGCCTTTCTTGCCATGAATTCAGCTTGGTGCCATATCCCAAACTCTGCCCCTTGCCTCGGTACAGGACAGGCAGGAGCTCAGGGCATGGGACTTGATATTGTTTGGCTCTGCCAAGTATCAAATCATAAAATCACCTCACATTAGTGTGTTAAAAAATGAGAAGGGAATATTAGAATAGGAACACAAGGCTTCAATGGAGTTAAAGGGATACAACAGATATTTGTGTTTGTTGGAAATTTTTTTTATGGCAGCAGTATTTGTTGATGTTTATTTTTCTCCTCTTCAGTAGAACTGTGTTTGTTAATAATTCTAATAATAAAACATCCACAACCAATGTAAGATTTGCCAAATTTTCAAAATTGTGGCTAAATTGAAGAGAAAAAAAAAAAAAGGACTTCTATCTTTTTTCTTCCTTTTTTTTTGTTTTGTTTTGTTTTGTTTTGAACTCTCCCTAAACCCACAGCACCAGGAGCGAACTGGCAGCACCTCCACAGTGACTGCGGCCACCAGGAGTTCAAACACAGCCATTGGCTTCGCGCTGTCAGTTGCAACAATTCTTGCAAATGAACAGACACCACAAACAAAACAGAAGCCCAGCCCTGCTAGAACCTACTCGCAGATGGACAAATTTGTTATTGTTTTCACGATCTTTTGCAATGTGTTTGCAGGTTTCTACAGCCTTGTTTAAATTCAAGCAAGGACCTTTTTGCACCAACTTTGCAGGATTTCATTTGTGAGTTGTACATTTAATTCTCCACAGCAGATGGTGATGTGTGGGTGTACCGCTGTATATTTGCAACAGATTCCTTATCCTACAAAATTAATTGTCTCATGTGCTGATTTAAAATCAGAATTGCATTGTTTGTAAAAAGCTAATTCTTGCATATCATTTTGCTGTGACCCGTGCAACTCAAGCACAGTGTAAGGAAGAGAAGGCTCAGTGCTTCTCTATAGCACATGGCAGCGCTGCCAGTCCTGCGTGCACTCTAAGAGCTCGAGATCTCCGTGTTTGTTACTGAAATAAATGTCCTTATTTGATTCTCTTGTGGGGTCTGAAAGGGTGCCGTGGTCTGTGCAGCTGCTGCTGGGAGGAACCCTGGCTCCTTATGGCCCTTGGTGCAACGCTGATGGCTTCTGGGGTGGGATGCTGCACTCAGCACATGGTGTGCATTAGAGCTGAGGGACAGAAGGAAGCAGCCTTGTGCTGTATGTGCCTGGGAGCAAGCAGCAAGAGCACGGGCAAGGCTGGTGATCCCACTGCTGCGATGTAAGGAGGGCACTTGGCTGAGGAGCAACTCAGGTAGCAGACTTGGGATTTTGATCTTTTGCTATTTCAATGGGAGATAATTTGTAGCCTCTTAACATTTAAAATTTGAATGAAATTTAATACAAAATAGTTTAAGCTCTTTAAAACGAGCTGGCTGTTTACAAATGTGATACAAGCTTGTAGATGGCAAAATGTCAAGCTTTGTGTGAAAAGCAGCTGCTTACGTGTGTGTGTTTACATCCTCTTCCCAGTTATTTCTGCTGAAAGGGCATTTCAGAAAATTGCTAATATGATGATAGATGAACCTGTCTGACATCAGATGTGGTTGGCTTAAGTTAATTGGACCTTGTGTCTGTCCCTCTGTTTGCCTTCCTTCCTAGAGTCCTCCCCGGTGCACTTACAGGCCTTCTGAAATGTGGGATATGAGAACAGGAGCTCGGTGACACCTCAGTGGGTCAGTCTCTGTGCGCCCTGCACGCAGTGTTTCTGCTGATGGCCTCAGCTGTGCCTGTCACCAGTACTCGTGGTTCTTGTGTGCTGGCAGTGACCCCTCACCACCCCTGGGATCACAGCGGTTGCTCAGCACTGGGCTGCAGGGGCTGCGCGCCCTGTGAGGTGTGTGTGGGTTTTGCTTTTTGGTTCCTTCCAGCAGCTCTTATTTTGCCCACTTCAGAACCTACTGAAGCTCGGCTGCATTGTCTCCATCACTTCTGGGTTTCAGAAGTCAGTTATTTTTAGGCTAGAAATACTGGATTAGCCTGAGACGGCAAAGCTTTTGTAATGTTCTGGATTTGATCTTTCATTCTGCTCCCAATGAACAATGAATTACTGCTGTGCAGTGAGCCTGGGCTTTGAGCTCCTCAGGGCAGGGAACGAACCTGCCCAGTCCTCGTTCGCTGACCCGGCTGTACCTCACCTCATTGCAGCCACTGAAGAGGACGTGCAAGGTGACAGCCCTGCCTGCTCCAGGTGATGGCAAAAAGAGACAGTCCCCCGGGCCTTTCTCTCTTGCCCCCACAGCTGAGCCAAGTGCTCAGTAACCTGTGTGAGGCTGGGTACATTCAGCCCCCATGCAGTGCCAATGGAAGCAATTAATGGTAACAGGAATGAGTCTGCAAGCAACAGACCAACCTGCTGCCATAGTACTGGAAGCCAGGCTCCCAGAGCACAAGCTCAGGGCCTTCCCACCACCAGCCCCTGCCCACCCTCACCCCACCCCACTCAGCCCACGCACAGCACTGAAGGAAGCACCCTCCAACCCCCCAGGTGATTTTCCATTTAGGCAGCAGGCTCGCTAATTGCACGGTGATTACCCTTTCATGAAAGGAATATAAAACTTGATTACTTCCAGTGAGTGGTAGGGAGCAGTGGTTCGGAGCAGAGCCTGTGTTTCAGTGGGAATTCCTGGATCTGCTCAGGCAGGATGGGTGCAGGCAAAGGCACCACCTGTAGCCCCTTTTATCCAGCACACAGGTGTGCCGCTCTCCTAAAGCAGGTCAGGACTTTACATACCACAGCCATGACACCAACGTGGCTTTTTGCTTTTCTTAAACAGACATAAAAGCCTTTGTACAGCTCCTGTAAGAGTATTTATGAGTGCGATAGGTAACAGGGACGTGGGCACCTTACATCAAGATGCTGAAGAACAGCAGCTGAGCCTGAAGTGGACTTAAGGAAATTAGGCCCTTTCATAGTCATCACAACCCCCAGGGCACAAACAGGCTCCTGCCTTAACCAGCCTGCCCCATGCTGCCTTCTTACTGCTGGTCTGGCCATGTGAGGTACACAGCAGAAAGGAAGGGAAAAAAAATAAATCAGGTGAAGGGAACAGATGGTGTGGTGTACCTGGTGGCATTCTATTACAAGCACTACTGCCTGGGTAGTTTGTTTGTTTTTAAACAAAGTAGGTTCAGATAAAAAGAAGTGGACTGGTGCATGTTGAAGCCCAAAGTGTACGTCTGCATAGAACTAGAGATGGGTAGATGAATGGAAGGCATGCTTCAGGGCCAAGTCTTTAAACAGAGCCACTGCTTCCTGTATTTCACATCGTAGAAGGGGCAGATTGATTTAAGGATGAATAAAGCAAACTGTAAATTTAAGAACCAACTCATGCTGGGGCCTGACATTAATTATTATAATCAACAGGGTAACTTAATCTCACAAAAACACGAGTTTATTAATAGGTGAAGGAGCTGAAAAATTGCACAGTCCATCCAGCCCACTGATACTTCTCCTAATCTGTTACGAGATTCAATGCTGCAGTTTTACAAGGTACACATTCTCAATTAGTGAATGTTACATAACATAAACATGAAGTGAATATTTGCATTAATGGGATTCAAACAAGTCAACTGAAATATCAACTGTTATAACATGGTGAAAAGAATCAAATTGGGAATGTGGTCACACACTGTTGTACAGCAGGTATGTACACTGTTTCATCTCGCGTGACATTCACAGCATGGTCATAGAAAAGTCAAAGTAAATGACTTAGAAAATATTAATGCTGAAATTCTCATTACTGTTGTTTAGAGTTGATACTGAGTTAATATTTTCGTTGTGTAAAAACATCGTATATGGTAGAAACCCTTCAGCATCTCCCACATTCAAATAAAGGTATTGAATCACAGTTACAATTTGGTCTTTGGTGTCAAACATCTTAAATGGCAGATTCCTTCTTGCCTTCAGAAGGAGAAAAAACAAATAATGAATATTCTTAGTCTGGTCCAACCAAGACATTCGTCTCCGAGACCTTGCTTCTGAGATCAGGCTAACATCTCCCTCATTGAAGGTGTGGCTGGGATCACTACGACATCTGAACACGGTTAAAAATGTGGAAAGTCCATAGCCATTCTACACACTTTCATTTATTGTCTGGACAATTAAAGTACAAATAATTCAAACACAACAAGGTTATGAAAAAAACATTTACAATACTTTCCCTCAGAAATGATCTAAACTAGCAAGGTTAACATGAAGTCATTCATTATAACTAAAGTATACAACTGCCTGGTCCTAAGAAAGATTTTTTTTAAATTATTATTATTCAGATAGTAAAACACATTGTAGAGAAAAGATTCTGACATGCCTTCCCCACTAATGCTTAGCAAATGCATCAAAACTTTCCCAGCAAACTGCGCTCATTCATAGCAGATGATGTATAAAGGTTTCCCTGAACATTGAATGAGTGTTCCTTTAAACTAAAATCTAACATTGTTAAAGTAAAAAACTGATAAAATTATGATGCAGCCTTTGCTTCAGTTATTTGTCTACTACAAAAGTTTGCCTCTTCAGTGTGAAAAAACAATACTTAGTCTACATGCAGTTAGTGGGTATAGCATGGAAAAAATGCACAAAATAAGCACAAGTTATAAATAACCATAACGTTTTATTACCATTAAGACTAAACTTGTATTGAAAAGATTTTATATAACAAGACAAGAAAAGCAATAGCAAATTTAACTATCAACTAGATTATGCATAGCGAGTAACTGTTTCTAGTACTCAGGGAAGAGCATGACCCTTTTTTGTTTTAAATATATAACCGTACAAAGCACAAACATACTAAAATGATCAGTGCACTGGACATGGGAGAGCACCCCCTCAGTCATTTTGTTCCCTTAGCTCTGTTTTCCCCAATCTGAATTACATTAAAATAAAGACCCAGTTGTTTTCTTTTCTACTGTGCAGTAAGAAAAAATATTCACAACAAACATGACAATATATCAAACAATATTTCTACACAAGTTACCTTGATACCTCTGTCACTTAAGTATCATAAGAAAACATTTTAAGACATATACAAACAAAACTAGCAAAGTGTTACAACTTATAATAAATTAACCAAAAGAAAAAATAACTTTATATATATATATATTTATATTATATATACACATACACACACAACAAAATGACACAATAATATGCTTCTTCCCATAGTTTAAGTAAACAAATAAGTAGACTAGCCAAACTAGCTATATTTGATTTTGGCCATATGCATCACATCGGCAATTAAATAAATAAGTGTTTCAAGCAACATAAACAGTGTTCCAAATGTGCCAACACAGCCCAATTATATTAGCATGGGCTATAAAGTGAATTTGAAAATTCTTAACAAATTTAAAGCAAATGTATTCTTTCTAAACACATTACATTTAACTATGATACTAAGATATGTAAATAATTTCGTAGCACCTACTGCTCAAACCAAGGAAGTTTTTGATCAAAATTAAGTTTTTTTTCTTTTTTTTAAACTTTTGTTCTGCTGATATCCCATACTGATGACTTAAAGAAAAACCATCTTGCAACTCATCTCCTTGCTTTTGGGTTTTGACTGTGGGTAACTGCGTGCCTGGGAAGAACACTCTCCCGTACTGTATTTAATATTTTTATTACATGCTATGAAAAGATACGAAGATCATCTGTTTGTAGCCCATCCTTCAAAAAACAATCTACTAATCCAGTTTAAAACACACATCTTGATCTCTAAAAAGTTACCAGTGCAGTATGAACATGACAAAGTTGTCAATTTCCCCTAAATTAGCCAGTCAAAATATTTTTTCTCAAATCCAGATTCTCTTGTAAAAATTCTTTATATTTTATAAAAATAGATTTTTCTTGAAACCCATTTTCAGCAAAGAGACCACCTCTTTGGCAACATTGTTAATGTTATTTAAATTGTTATGTCATCAGGTATCCCCCTCTACCCCATTCCCTAACAGAAGACTGTTTAGTTCACATGATATAAAAGAAAAAAGGAAAAATAAAAAAAGTTGCAAAATTATGTTCTTCTTTTTGCAATTTTTATTGTTCCTCTTTAATTTACCAGGGGGGTTTACCAATCTGATTAGATCAATGTTTTCAAAAGAAGAAAAGAAAAGAAAAATCTTTTTTCTCGCTTTTAATCCCATTAGTTTGTAAAAATTGTTTCTGTTTTCTTATTTTTTTCAAATGAGTGAATGGTCATCTTAAAAAGACCCACCTTCAAGGAAGGTAGTAAAACTAGCTGGCCGGGTAAAAATCCCTGCACATTGTTATCTATGTATATTATATTCAACAACGACAGCTATGAAAGAACATTCAATGCATCAAAGGTTTTTTTTTTTTTTCTAAGCATTATAAAATCCTTTCCTGTTCCTCACAGGATATCCAATGTTTTAATACTTAGGCAACACTGGCTTATAAAGTCCATGGTTGAATATAAGCCTTGAAGAGTTTTTTTGTTTTGTTTTGTTCGTATATATATTTATATATATATATTTTAGTAAGTAAGGATATGAAATTCAGGATTTGTGGGTTTTATTGGTTTTAAAGGAAACTTGCAATACTCTGTCTCCTAAACGGTATCCATTAAGGCTGGCAATCGCCATGGCAGCTTCGTCGTAGTTGGTCATGGTGACAAAGCCAAATCCCTTGCACTTGTTGGTGTTGAAGTCGCGGATCACCTTGACGTTATTGACTGCTCCGAAGGGACCGAACAGCTGCCACAGCACGCTCTCATCTGAGTCGGGAGACAAGTTGTAGACGAAGATGCACCATCCAGTTCCAGTGTGACCAGGGATATTCATTCCGACAAGGCTCGTCATACCATCAATTGTGATCGGGGAGAACCTACCAAGTAAAAAGAGGGGTCTATTCTAAATATATCTCTTGGTAAAAGCTACACGGAACCAAGACTTCAAAGTAAATAACTGGGCGTTAACTTAGGTTCTCAATCCTATCCCTGGAAGATTACCACGTAGCAACCTGAGTCTCTAACTCCTATGCACGCGGAAGGGACCTCTACTAGATAAAGAGTGAATCTGGGCATGAAGGCTTTTCCCTCCATGGATACAGCCAACTGAAATGTTATAAACATCCAGAAGCCCGTCCTTAGCACTTCTTTCAAGTCAAATACAGTCTTCATATTCTGCTTAAAAAAGTCTGTAGAAGTTTGCCTCATATTTCCAACATGTTTCAGAGTGATGGAAAACTCTTTACTTGTAAGAAGTTTGCTGTGCAAAAAACAGAGCCTCCAAAGTTTAAATGAAGGAGTAACAGGAAATACCACTGTTAGGATTCACCTGTACCAGTAAGCTCTTTTGGCTGAACGTACCATCAGAGAGCTCTGGAAGTGGTAGATTTTAGTTCTCCCCTCACAGCCCTTATCTGACAAACTAGGAAAAAAAAATCCAGTTTAAAGAGTCCTAAAGCCAGTCAGCCAAATATACAAAGATTTACACAGCAATCACAAAGTAGAAAAGTCCATCAATGTAATCATGGGGCATATGTCACTAATACCTTCACAATGTGAGACTCCCTGTCCATAGCAGGATCTAAGGCTCTTCAGATAGTCAATGTAGAGAGAGACAAGCTCCTGGAAACCTAACACAGAACTCTAAGCCCCCTGCACTGCCTTTTACCCCTTTTTTAGGGGCCTGTTGTGCTTATCTGAACACATGAACTAGAAAGCTGAAGCCAGGTGATGCGTTCATGGACAAAAGAACTGACACAGGTAAGCACAGGCTGGGCAGGACCTATGGAGGACATCTGAACAGCCTTCTGCTTGAAGCCAGACTAAATGGAGTGAGACTGGGCCTCACCCACAAAGGTTCTGAAATCTTCAAGGGTGGGAACTTCACTTGCAAAGCCTCTGCTCTGGGTTTGACCATCCTCACTGTTCACAATTCTTCCCATACATCCAGTTGAATTTCCCCTGCTGCAGCCTGTTTCTGTTGACTCTTGCCCTTCTGCAACTGACCTCCCAGAGCTTGGTTTCATCTTCTTTTTAATGCCCTTGCAGGTATCTGAAGACAGGAGTCAGGGGCTGAATTCCGCATTTGCCTTTCCTGAATTTCTCCAGGTTCCTCCAGCTCAGCAAGGTCACCCCAAAAGCAGCCACAGCCAACAGCACAAGGACTGCCCCCACTCCTGCACCACACCAGTGCTGCCCATTCAGGGAGGTGTGCTGCAGCCAGTGACTCAGGTTATTAATGAGGATGTTAAGCAGCATCAGCCTTCAGGATCAACATAATTCTCCTTTCATGAGTTTGAAAAACAGACATGATTTCTGAAGCTACACTTTGGGGTGTTTTAAAATAACTGCACAGAGAAAAAGTCTTAATAAAAACCCGGTTTCACACCAATTCAATGACGAGTTTTAATACCTGAACTGAATAACAATTATTCTTCAAGAATTTGAGTGAGGACTGAGGGAGTGGAGGGGGGGCACTCACAGCATCACTAAGATGCTCGCATTCATGCTCCAAGACTTCTTTTATAATTCCAATGTTACCACACCTGTTTTGCTATCCACACATTACGCAGCACACACTTCATAATCATAAAAGAAACTGCATACTTGATGGCTGCTTCTTTTGACTCCTGATGGCACTTTATACATACATTTGAGGAGAGTAGATGCTTGGAATATCCATTTGGAGCTTAAGAACATCACTGGGGTATTGCTACGCTATAAATGAGCAGTTTGCAAGAGCTCACAGCCTTGGATCCTCAGACATACACAGACATTTGTAAAAACAGCTTATTAAGAATAAATGACAGTCTTCCTACTGAACTTCACTTTTGCAAGTGAACATCCTTTAGTTTCTCTCCCACATACCGGATCTAGCAACAATATCGCAACGGTTCGTTCAGCACAGCTCTGCTACCTTGCTTCTAAAGCTCAGGAAATGGAGATGGCAGGACAAAGCCAGTTTATATGATCTTTTTACCACCTGACATGGTGGAACTTACAAAGAGCAGCAAGGACAAGAGCTTGTACAAGCCAACAGCTTCACATTCCTTTAAAGTCAGGAAGATGGAACTAAAAGCCTGTTGCTGTTAAGTGCCAACTGTGCTAGTAACATATGTAAGCCAGGAAAACAGTTGACTGTTTTCTGCTATGTTTAAATTTAACATGAAGACAGCACTAATATGTACACAATCCTGTCCGTGACATTACTATAAAACTGTACAGTGCACAGAGCCATGCCTATCATGCTCTTCCATAAAATTCTGCATGGACACAAAGGGGTAAGGTTTCACAGTTCACTGAAGAGCAGTTTTTCCCCTTGAAACATTCAGGCGCTACACAGCTTTCTATCAGCAGGCCATGAGCACAGGAGCTAACATGACTCCAAGAAAACATCCATGAAACCAGTACAAGTTTATGGACACAAATACAACATTACCTACTGCTGGGAGCAGAGCTCTGAGTTACACATGACCTGAAGTCAGTGTCAATAAAACCTATGATCCACCCCAGCATATCTCATCTGCTGCCTGTATACAGCATGCAGGAGAACAAACTGAGTCCCCAAATCCAGGAACACTACACAGTTCAGAATCAGTTCCAGAAGTCAATACAGTATTTTGCTAGTGACCCTACACCTATAATTACAGAGTTTGCTAGTAAAATTTTTCAAGACCTGAAGGGAGGAAAAAAGCTACTTCAAAATGCCTGAAGAACAACTAGTTAAAACAAACAAGCCGTTGCTATTTCAAGTTTATGCAGATGTATCACAAACAAGTAGGGAACTCATTTTTGTTCTCTCTGAAGGTAATATGAAATCACAACTGTGAAGTCTTGCTAGTCAGAACCAAGCACTGCAACTCTGGAGGAGAAAAAACCAAAGAAAACTCCCTGAATACCACCATCTTCTAAGAGTTATTCACATCTGATACATGTTCGAGGCTCTGAGTTCTGCAGTTTCCAGCAATTCATCAAGAGACGAAAGAGGGAAGAACTCAGGAGAAGCAGAGCATGATAGGCTGGTGCTAGTTCTGAGACCACCACCACGATCACAGTCATGAAAACAGTGCACTGATGAACACAAGGAGCGTGCAGGGAAAGCATGCAGCCTGTTTTGAGCCCTGCTTCACTTCCACAAAGCGGTCTTGCAGTCCCTGTACAGCAGCTACTGTGGCAGCAGTTAGAAGTATGCTGCTGTCCTCTGCCAGCTACAGATATACTTACCATACCATTCACAGCGTGAGCTTTTTAAAAAATACCAAGCCATTTTCACGTGTCATGAGCAGAGCACTTCAGAAGATTAAGTAGTATTTTCTCATCTTAACTGTGGGAATAGCTGGACGTCTTACATTAGGAGTAAGACCACACCTTTATTTTGCTGCAAAGTTCGCTTGAACTGATGTGTACCATTAGGAGAAACACTGACAATGTCAACTCATTTCAGCTATCAGACATTAAACACACTGATGAAACAGCATAAGTGACATCAGCTGGACTTTCACGCACAAGAGCACATACAAACAAACACCGCTACTTGAAACGAAAAATAAATCAGGCATCACTAAAATTTCAAAGTATAAAACCTGTAACAAAAGAAACGTAGGGCAGATTAAGGTGCACGCAGCTACAGCCTGAAGTCAAACTTGGGAAGCCTGATGTAGGACAATGAAGGTCTTAACTGAGATTTGGACAGTAGTAGTCGAATTCCATTTTCAGCTGTTACATTCCACACAATCAAATAAGAAATTACTTAGAAATTTAAGTTAATAGTTCTGATTCTGAACCAAATAGACAGGACGACTTGAGTTTGAATGCCTGTAGCTGTTGCACCTCAACCATTTGAGAAGCCCGCCTGTAAATAAAAAAAGGTTGAAAAACCCACAGAATTTGTGTGGCCTTGAAAAGGAACAAAACCAACTGAAGTCCAAACTTAAAAAGAATTTGACATGCTGGTGGAAGAAAAGGAATTAAAAAAAAATAAAGTTAGTGAATTAAAAAAAATAAATTGTAGCACCAATCTGTGCCAACACGGACATCTGGCAATCTGTGGAATTCTAATTACCTCTTTACGCCATAGGCCATATTAAGCAAATTGTCCAGCCTGAAAAGAGAAGGAGGGTCTTTGGGTTAATGTCTCACAGATGGCAAGATCGCTCAATGGAACTATTATTAATAGCATTCCATTTTCAAAGAAGAAATGTTCAACAAGTTTCCCACACATCTAAAGAGCCTAACAACTCGTGGCCTGCTTTGTTAAGTTTGAGATTGTGCTTAAGTTTCCACCACTGGATTCAAAGCAATTTTAATTCATCTACCACCTTAAAAACCTTACTTCTCCTGGTTTGATTTACTTTTAACAAGATAGACTTTTGGTTTGTCAATTTAGACAGCATTACGAAATCTTTGCAAATATTCAACTGCTCACCTTCCAAATTAACTGGGAAAGAATGGCAGTACAAAATAAATGGAATTGAAGAAAACCTTGATTTTAGCTACTTCAACATAATCTCTCCACTAGGATACACTTAGTAGCAATCCTGCACAATACATCAGTTCAATTGACTATAAAGTTGTGCAGAACGCATACAGTCATCAGCTTTCTGAAAGCCCTTTACTGACAGAACATTAAGCTGCACTGCAAGATACACTAAATACGTGTTCGCCTTTGAATCAGTCAAATTACTTCATGATCTTCATTCATTAGCACTTAGCCAGCAAAAAACTAGAATAACTTTGAGTAATTTGGTAAAGCTACTCAGTTATGGAAACATTCACTTTTTTCCCCAAAGAAGCTTCAATTTGAATGCTGAGTTGCCTGAAAGCCGTTACAAGAATAACGAGGACATCATGTATTGCAAACACTGGTTTATGTATCGGATGGAATCAGTATCATCAGAATATATACAATAAAGTATCTCTAAAGATATCTCTGGAAACACATCAAGCACTAATACAAGGTCTCTTCACAGCAAGAGCAGATATCTTAAGCTAAATTTAATGATACTGCTGCCGACTGGAACAGACTCAGCTTTTTTCCTGCTACCAATCCATTGTCATTAACATCAAAGTCTAGGCTGCATCAAAACTGTAATAATACAGCAGAAAATAAAAGCATTACCAAGAAAATGCTAAGAACAGGGTATTCACTGCTCATTTGATTATCAGTGCAACTTTGTTCTGTCCTCCCTTTTTTCTATGAGGCTTCATGAGATCCGATAGTACAGTACTTCGGCTGTTTTAGTAAATACGACATGACTACTGCTGTCAGCAGATTTTCCTCCTCATTCTCCAGGAAAGAATATTTAATTTTACGAAGAAAATCAGGTCAGCCTACGCAACTAAAGCACATTTCTCCTGCATAGCACCTGCCCCACATCATCGTCGCTGGTAGAACTTCAGTTCTTTTCCAGGTAATTACCTGAATCTCTGAGCCTGGTGGTGAAGCGGTCCAGGGTAGCGTCTGTTGGGAGATTGATACAGCTGTGAAAGGAGTGCCTGGCTTGTTTTCTGGCTGGGGTTATTGGCAAACTTCACAGTAATTGGTTCTGTAGCACCGCTAGGCTTCTGGCCATTTAGTCCCTTTATGGCTTCTTCCGCCTCTATTCTCTTATCAAAACGGATAAATCCCACACCTCGAGAAACCCCTGGGAAGTAGAAACATGCAAACAAATGAATATATGCAGGAACTGCCTCATCTATGTCACGATGAAACAGAACGTTCATTTTGATTTAACACACTGCTTGCAAATTAAGATAAGTCTTATTATAAAGAAAAATACCATTCCCCAGTTGTGTTCTTTGCAATTAGACCCTACAATATTTAATATAATCATTTTGAGATGACAACACTGTGTTTTCCAGCCCCTCATTAAAAAAGCAACCAAGCACAACTCCAAGCAATAATAACTATAGAGTACTAGATATGTGTTTTACACAAGAAGAAAATCATATCATCTTAAACCCTACCACCAGCAAGCATTTGCAATTTTACCATCTGGAAAAACATGCACGCGTCAAGGAAACTTTTTTGTTTAACCTGTGACTTGATCAACCAGAATCCGTGAGGTGATGATGCGCCCATATTGTGAGAATAACTGCTCTAATTCTTTCTGGGTCATTGTTTTCGGAAGGCCGCTGACATACAAGTTCGCATCTCTGATTGATGCTGAACTTGGACGGGCATACGACACCTAGGGATTTAAGACAAAGAAATACCTATTAGTAAGCAGGGCTGCCCTTTGCATTTGAAAGACAGATTTTCTTCTCCACAAGAATAAACCTTACATGGGCTGAACAGCCCTGAAGCCAAGGTGCTACCTGTCAAAAAACCAAACCAACCAAACCAGGAAAGGTTACAAGAACAAAGGCAGCTGGAGACTTCAACAACAAATGCAAGGGTTCTTTAAGCACAGGCACAAAATAGCTTTTGTTCAGAGGTAGATTAATGTGCGACCTCCCACGCGCTGCTTTGTAAATTTACCCCCATGAGTTGTGGGTGTATGGATGATGTACTGCATCCAACGTGCAATAACCTTAGAACACACAGCATCCTCAAGTTCTAAGGTGCTTTTCTTCAAGTATCTGAAGCAGATCAGGTTATTTTCAGAATGATCTTTTGTGCTCTTTGTATTCTCATCCTGAGCTGGTGAAACCTGCACCAGACGAAGAGCAAAGCGCTGGTAAAATTCAACTAAATGAACATCTGCTCAGGGAACTGCATACCGACACTCACTGTCATATCTGCAGTTTATCACAAGAAGTTCCTTGCGCTGCAAGCCCAAACCAGACCATAAAATATTATGACCAAATAAACAAGAAAAGCAAGCTGAGGCACTGCATGTATGCCATCAAAAAATTATTAAATCAAATCCTTCAACTGCTCTTCTGCCTACAAAAACACAAATTCAGAGCCGAAAGAAAAATCAGATCTATAAACTGTAATCAGATCTATAAATTGTAGTATGTGCATGAAAAGCCCTCTGCACTGTTACGATATACGCATTTAGCATAGCAAATTGAACAAGAACACTTCCCAGATAAGGCCTAATTGCAAGCATTCAGCACAGATCACGAAGAACTACTTTGCAGCACATCTGAAACAGAGTCAGATCTAAACCTGAATATTTTGCACTTCATCTTGATTTAAATATAAACAGATCAGTACATTCCTGCACCATGTCTTAAAATGCCTTCTCGAAGAAATGAGGGGTCCTGTCACAAATATAATGCTTTCAGTGATCGTCTTCCTCTCCTCCCCAGCCTCAGCCCCAACACAAATGATGTCAAACGGATGCCTTTATGTGTTTTTTGTGTCAAAGAGTTGTCTTTATGCGCTCCGCACCTAAAAATAGATGTTGACTCAACACAGAAAATGATGTGAATGACTAATATTTGCTTCCACTATCTGCTGCATATAATAGCAGACAAACTCAAGATTTTTTGTTTTAATATTTTTGGCAACTTCTTTATAACTCGTACATTTATACATAACCTTTTCAAACTACCATTTTGAGAGAAGGCTAAAAAGAGGAGGAAAAAAAATTAGGAAAAGAGATGGAAAAAATAAAACATTTGCATTAACTGAGACAAGCTCAGGGGAAGCACACAGGCCTAACAAGCTGGGAAACACTAGAAATGGTGCTTGAAACCAGCTTTGCTGCGTTTGGTTTGGTGGCTTCACCCCTCAGGCAAGTACTGCTGCATGGCCATGGTGCGATCGGCATGGAACATAGAAGACCAGCAGGCCCAGCTCAAAGCCTCCCAGAACTGAGACCTGCTGCCAGGCACAAGGAAGAGGGACCAGGTTGGGCATTCGAGCTTCAGAGCATGGCCAGATAGCAGGCTGGAGGATCGGCCCCACACCGGGTGCAGAGCGTGGGGCTGAACCCATCTCCTGAGGTCAGAGAGGTGCCTGCTGCCCACAGCCAGGCCCACACCACCTCAGGCCAAGCAGAGCCTCTTTGCACCCGCAAGCACCTTACCTTCAGAGGGCACTGCCAACGTTCAGACACCTCCAGCTTAACCTGCTTCAGGAATAACAATTTAAAAAACACTTAAGAGCCTCTCCGGAGCAGGGGTAGGGACCTTTCCTATTCCTCAAAACTGAGCTCTGCAAAATTAATAAAGTTTCTAGGAAAACAGCCAGAGGTTTCCTTTGGGTTTTCTCACTCTGGCACATTCATTAACCAAACGCCACATTACAGGGAAGATGAAAAGTACTGGGATATGCAAAAACACTGCTTCCCAGAGCACGGAGTGCCTGACATTTCATATATAAGTACATACACACACCTCAATGTAGGAAAAAAAAGGCTCAGCTCTTTTCTTGTGGGCTATGCAGAAACGCAGAGCTAAGAGCCTGCATGCTCAGAAATTCATCTTCTCTCCGTACATGTAAGACGCATCATCACTCAGGTCTAATTCTTATTTCCTCCTGCAATCAAACACTCAGGTTGCAGGGGAGCCTGGGCCAAAGAAAGAAGCTGCCAAAAGCAACTCGGCTCTCTTCAATATCAAGGAGAAAAGGTTGCAAGCTGAATGGACATGAGGCAGTAGTGTCAATTATTTATCTCCTTTTGAATCTTTTTCATCTTCCCTCTGAGGTCAGCCAATGACAAATCGATTGGTTACACCACACCATCCTGCTTTCAAGCTATTATTCAGTTAGTGCTGAGGACTGGATGTCTTCCCATTTATTAACTACCTAAGGAAGAAAACATCCATCCCAACCCTCCCTCCATCTGACCAAAAGCAACGTATACTAAGCAAGCTAAAATGGGTGCTGAAATCAGCCCTCATTTTATCACTGAATATGAAGGACTCAGGAGGAAGGCTGCATTAATTCTTTATTTTTACATCACGTTGCTCAGAGCTCTGTTAATGCTCTATAATAAAACAGCTTGTTGAAAGAAAAAAAAAAAAAAATATGGAAATCTCAGCCACCAGAAGTAACAAGCATGAGCTAAAGTACACCAAACTGCTGCCTGAACCAGGCATTTCTCAGCACTCAAGTGCCTGTCCACATGTCCATGCATGATATTGCATTTCACTACATTGTATACAATTCTTCGCTCCTCTCCAAGGAAGATAAAATACCATCTGATTCATTTTACAGCTTACCAACCTCCAATGTTAGATTCTAAAATATACAGAGATTTCCTAGCTAGGAAATCTCTCGTCTGTGAGCATCAACTTGTAAGAGCTTCTCTCTAGGACAAGCTACCCTCAGAAGAATCTAGGCTGCACTGTTCTCTCCAAACACTACTGGGGAAATATAGGGTCCAGTGCTTCATACCTTTCACAGCAATGAACCATTCTCTTTGCTCATGAGCAAAGAAGAATCTCCAAGTCAAAGCAATTACTTTCTCTATTGATTCCGTACTATTTCCCAACGCAGAAAACTTTTTGAAAAGTGTCTAACCTCCAGACTTCCCATCACGTAAATCAATGCAGTCTGGTCTTTCCGAGTCAGAGAGCCCACAAAGGCACCTAGAGGCATGAATGCATCCCATTTGTCTTCCAAGGCATGGCTCCGGATATTATCAGCCACCATTTCAAGAATGAAGCTCCTGACCGTTTCACTGCTGTTTCTCTTCAAAGACTCCTTCAGCTCAAATGCTAATCCTGAACTTGTCAAAGTTTTCATGAAACGAACCAGAGCGACCTTCCTGGCTGCTGCCCGCTCCAGAGAGGACATCACTATTAAGTGACACCCTGGGCAGCCTTCAAGAAGCCCTGTGTAATATCTTCAGAAGTACTGAGCTTTGCTGTGACCTTAAAAACAGTTCTGAAAGGCTTTGTTTTGCCTGCATGTAAGCTCTCAGATGTAGGATCTCTGTGTGATTTTGGGGTGAGTCACTTAGTTCTCATGCAAGGTCCAACTACATAAAATGGGGACAAACCTGTCCTGTGCCCACCGCCTCCTATGACACTGATGCTTACCGGAAGCGCTTCAGCAGAAGCACACATGGACACAAGCACAATCTCCCGTTCTGACCATGATCTACATAATGTCAGACAACTCATTACAGCCAGAAGACACTGCTTCCTCACAGCCACTCACCCATGCCTCCATCCTGTGTCAAAACTCAGTCAGAATTAACTTTATTAGAATCAACCCAAGAACTAAGATCTGGAATAACTTCATGTCAGAGGCACTACTTTCTCTCCTGTTCCTAGCCCTGCGCTGAGGATGGCAGTGACGGGTTTTTGGAGTGACAGTGCACTTTGCCACACAGCAATTCAATGCTGTTTTGCTTGGACTCATGATTGCTGGTAAGAAACAGTCTATCCCAACACTTCAGGGGAAGCATCCACAGATGACAACCTACAGGCACTCCGGCTGTTTCAAGAGCTGGGCTAAGAAATAATTGCTCCAGCTCTGTAGAATGAAAAGGAGCTCATTGGCAAAACCGAAGCAGTTAAGAAAGACATTTCAATTAAGAGCAGATGCACAAAACTACAGGTAAAGACTCTCTGGTGCCTGCTGAAAGCAGCAGAGCCAAATCTGAACCTTCAAATTCACCCCTGAAAGGTCCTTTGAGTCACATCATCACTACAGGCAAAGGGATTTGTTAACCAGCATTGAAGTCCAAGCAAGAATGCAGACAGAAGCCCTTAAGGAGCAAAAACCTCAACTCCGCCACAGCTTTCCAGATCTGAAAAATCCTTCCGTCCAAGGCTTCCAAGCGCCACAGTTGCAGCGTACACTTCTCTTACAAAGATTCTAACATGCAGCAGCTCATGATAAGCGATTACCTTAATGACCAAAGGAGGCACACAGCAGCCATGTCCCAAACCCACAGCTGTGCATCCCATAACCTGAGTTTTCAGAGAAGGAAGGCGTGCACCACACGCCGCAGCTCTGTGGAACAGCACATGCAGACCTTCACAACACACAGCCAGCCCCACTGTCCCCATGCTCGGCTCCTGACATCCTCACAGCCCCGCTCAGATCCACCACCAATAGCTGTTCCTTCCACAGAAGGGACCAGAGGTGGCTGATCTTTGGTTATCCTACAGCAACAGAATGGGCTGCAGCTTGGCAGACAACCATGAGAGTTGCACAGAGCCTGAATGCCGCAGAAATACCTGGCCTTTAAAGAAACACCAGAGCAACCAATAACCAAGTAGTAACACTTCCAGAAAATACAGGAGCATTTTCTCCTACAGACCTGTTTGCTGTATTTTCAACTACCACCACCCTGTCCTATTGATCAGAACAGATTAAAGTAGAAGTAAACATATGAACAACAAAAATAGTAGCAGTTCTATCCCTTGTTATTTTTTCACTGAATTGAAAGTGAGAATAACCCGAGATACAGAAGCAGCCTCTGACCAGAGAGGAATGATGCTACTTCTTCGGTGTTAAGTCCACCAAAGCTTTGACATAGAACCAAAAGGAATGAATTCAAGGCTCACAGAACCCAGCTCCCTTCTCCCCTCACAGAGGGTTCTTTCCACTCCAGCAGTTGGCACAGCACATTACCTGCTCCTGTGGAAGAAGAACAAAACAAATCTATTTCTCAGGCGACAGAGAAAAGGAAGAAGGGGATATAAGACCGCACTTCAGGTGGTCAGCTGCTATCTTTTTATTTCAAACCTGCTTTCAGAATTCTACTCTGCCCTTGTTCCAGCATCCCCCAACGTGAACCAGGTCACCTGAATCATCAGTAAATAGCAGAACACCTCCTTCGTGTCCTTTCAGATGCTGCCTGTTTTTTTTTTCAGGGCAATGTAGGATTTAAGCAGCCTCTGCCCCACGTAGCACACATTGTTTTCTCATATTTGATGCAACTGAATTGCAAGGCAATCTTCAACAGCAGCAGTGACCTTTCATACGCTTTTATGGATGGGCAAATTTAATTTCTAAAAATAGACTCAATTTCTGGAATATACATTTATTTCAACACATGCTGCATCTTCCCTCATTCTAGATTATTTTGTAGAACTATGCCAACCTTTAGCTGTAAAAATGAAGTGAAGCCCTTTTCCTCTCCCCCGACAAAATGAGGGTGCTATGAAACAGCATAAATAACACATGCTCTGCAATCAGCTGAGGAGGATCACAACCTGTGTAACCTATTACCACTGAACACGTAACACTTCCCTCAATGCTCACTTCCCCCAAACAGATTTCTGCAAATAGTCACCTCTCGACTTTGACTTGAAAGGGCATCACTGACTTAAATAAAATGCACATAAATATTTTAGCTGCTTCAGTGAAAAGGGATTATTTATTCTAACAATGAAATAACAAAATGCGTTTCATTCGGTTATTTTAGTCCACACATCTGAGAGCAGGCTGTGCTGGGCTGTTCTGCTGATCCTGCTGGAAGTCAGATCCTCCGGAGCCAGCATGGCTGCTTTGCAACGCATCAGGAGGAAGAGAGAACATTCAGCTGCCACGAGATGTTACAGAAGTGGAAAGGACAGGATCTGGGGACACATGCAGAACTGGAAGCTACTGAAAATGCTTTTTTTCTTCTCGTCAACAGGAATTAAGGCTTATGGGGTCAAAATACAAGCGCAAACGTGACCCCCTGGAGCCAGCTATCACCCAGCCCAGGCACACAGACATAGGATTGCTGAAGCAAGGAGATGGGAGGGAACAGCCAGCAGGGCCAAGGTGACCTTGGGGTGCGGAAGCGATCCGTGTCTCTAAAAGGCCTTGCACAGCTTATTTATGTGAACTTGCTATCCAGGCAGCTCTCTGACAAAACGCAGCTGAAGAAATGCTAGCGCAGGCTGCAGCTATCCAGCATCCACAGACAGGCTGAGGGCTCAACCCATCCAGCAGCACTGCACTGCAGAACAAAAGCTGAGCCCTGCTCACAAGGAGAACAGCATAAATTCATGCTCACTACTTTTCCCATTCAATGTTATTTTAGTGTTTTAACTTATTTTTAGCGTACAGAGCTATATGCCACCAAGTCCCTCTCCATATATCACCTGAGAAACTTTTTTTAACGCATTGGAGGTGAGCAGAACATAACAGCACTGAGCACAGCTCCGCTGCTCCAGGCAGTAGGGACACGGCTGGTGGCATGGGCAAAACATGGCTCACTGCTCAGCTGCACCAACACAGGAAAGCCACCTTCTCTACAGCAGTGCCAGGGAGGCAGACTTCATCTAAGAAGATTTTTTTTTAAATGAGCAAAGATACAATTTAGAAATACAAAAAGCCATGGGTGAGGCAGCCACACAATGCTACAATTAAGAACAGGGCTAGAGGCAGCTGGTTTGGTGTCCCTCTGTACAAAGGTTGGCTACTTCAAGAGCAGACTCCTTTGGTTTGGTTGTTGATGGTGTTAATATTTGAAAGCACATTAAAGTCTACGCAGCTCCTTCCAAAACCACTGACAGAATTACGCAGCTCCTGTACATGTAGGTTAGGTTGATCTCTGTTTATTAGATTTAATGGCTTTCAGGGGTCCAACAAAGTGTCACAAGCTCCAAAGAAGTCCTGCAGCTATTAATAAGCATGAAACAAGCACCAATCTCATGAACTATCAGTATTGATAAAATTTGAAGTGAATAAAAAAAGAAAGGAAAAAACATTTGGTAAGAAGTTCTGGCATGGTAGGTTTCTGCGTAGCACAAAGATTTCATTACTAAAAGATAAACCATTAAGCCTTCCCTTTTTAATTCTGCAATTTAATTAAGTGTATTCATGAGAAATGTAAAATCGTTTCAGGAGTTTTTGGAGGTTATTTTTAAGCTTATGTGGTTCTGTAACTGTGGAGTTATCAAATACAACCAGCTTCGCTCTGGCTCACAAAAGAAACATACAACACAAAACCAGTACTTAAGACAAGAAATGCAGCAGCTTTGATAAGCTGAACAGTGTTCAAAATATAGATTAGTTTTTAAAGATCTAAATCAAGTGTGGCATCAAAGCTGCACTAAGTTTTTAATGAAGTATTTAATACACAGTAACTGTTCTCCAAATATTTTACTTTTCCTGACAATGTAAAAGTAATCTGGAGAGCAACTCACTGCTCAGCTTTTAACTGTAAGCAGAAGAAAGTGCTGAGTCCAAGCACACATTTCCACCTGCAGTGGTAGATAAGACTGGAGATTCTGCTGCTCTGCCATATATTTTCCTGTAAATTTTTCTCTCAATTTAACTTTTCAAAATCAGGTGGAAAGCACGCAGATATACAGCCTGCATCCATATCTATGGGATGGACCTGTCTGGTCTAAGGAAGGTCTGGAAGGAGTAAGGTCCATGCAACTGCTATGCTTAAAGTCCTCAGAACCTCAGCTCCTGAGCAGCCAGAGCAGCTAAAAAATGATCCTCAGTGGTGCTAAGGAACTAAAAAAAAAAAAATATATATATATATATATATATATATATATATACACACTTTTGCTTTAAACAACAACACTACCTAAACCTCAACCATTAGAGAGAAAAAGGAGTACTGACCATATGCTACTTTCTCTAAGATAAACTGGTTCATGCTCCATGGATGCTTTCAAAAAAAAATTATTCTATTTTTATATTCTATAATATTTTTAGCTTTAAGCACAATTGAAGCAAAGAATGTTAAGAAACACATCTAAATTCAGCATTCTCAAATAATCTACTTCAGTTTGAATCACATTCGCTGCTTTGTCCCCTTCAGATTTTTATTCATATGTCCTAAGCTGCACTATTTATCAGATCTCAGGATGGAGAAATCTTCTGTAAGCCTTTCTGAAACAGCTTCATCAGCCAGGCAGCAAACAACGCGACTGCAGAAATTTGCTTTTCTTGTGAGACCACTAAAAGAGGTCATTGAATAACTAATGGTCTATTACAACAATGAAATGAGAGACTTCAGTGGGATCTCGAATCCCTCCAGCTTTTAAAAGAGTAAATCAGACTAAGGATGGGGAAATGGAGATTTTTTTTGAGAATGAAATATCCTAACTTGAGAGATGTACCTTCAATACCTGCTAAAGAGACAAGTGTCAGTGAAGACTAATTCCACGTGAAGGTGCTTCCCATAAAGACAAAGGAAAGTGTGCGAGTTAATTACAAACACGCGGTCCTGTATTTTACATCTGTTTATGGTAACAGCATCACTGCGGCTGTTCTATTCTACATTTAGATCTCACTGCAACATTTTAAGGGAGAGGGACTAACAGAAGGCTCCTTAACAATAGCTGCAATTTTAGAGAAGAGATTTCATCTCCTGCACATCTTTCCCCTGTTCCAAGGAGCTTGTTAGCTGAGTGCCCCTCGCAATGACAGATTAAAGTAGTGGCGAAATTGCCAGAAACTGTTTCAACTACTTTATCTTCTTCCTTAACTGAACAAAAGGCTTTTTATATTGTCTTACCTTTATGGTTTTGGTCTGGAGTCTGAGTCCATTTAAAGTATTAATGGCTTTCTCTGCATCCTTTGGATCAATGTAGTTAACAAATCCATATCCTAAACTCTGCCCTGTTGAAACAAAAAAACAAGGAAAAAAGGATTCAGTGTGGTTTTTTTTTTTTTGGAAGCACACAGCTTTCAATATCACGATCAACATTTACTTTCACTGTTCCTTTCACCACTGCTATTCCCTATGGTCTGTATGCCATTCTTCACTACTTTGTTACCATCCAAAAAAAAATTTTTTTTTTTTAAATCAGTTTCTGCTGTTAAAGCTCTCACTCTGAAGATCCTACTTGCAAAACAGAAGGAAGCAAGTCCCACCCTTCTCCAAGAGGTCACTGTAAAGGTACAAGGCTTGACATCAGCAAAATTACATAAGAGTTCCCAATAAACCTAACTGGTTGACTTGCCAGAACAATAAGGAGGCCACCACTTCAAAATTATAAACACACAAATGCTACAGTTTATAAACAAATCTGTAGGTGTTTGAAAATGCAAAAATTAGGAAACAATGTCTTCACATCAACCTTTAGGCAGCTGACTGGGAAGCAGACAGCCACCTTTACATCTCATTTCATTGCTCAGTGAGCAGCCAGGAAATGGGAGGAGAAAGGACAGCTCTCAGATAAAAGATTGCATTAAAGCTTCCCTCAGTGCATATAAGATGACAGCAAAAGCAAAACAGTACAACTGCTGCTGTGCATGGGATGGCAGGAGCCCGTTTCAGCAGCCAAAATCATTCCAACAGCTTCTGTTTTCGCTGTCTGACTAGCCAAACCTTGCTTGTGTTTGCAGCAGGAAGAGGAAATCCAGTTAGGAACTCCGGCACCAGCGATGCAGTGGCAGCAGCACTGTGAGAACCTCAATTCACACAGTACAGGAACAGAGCAGTGTGTCCGCAGGGGGCCATGGAAGCCCTACCAAAGACACCTCTTCCCAGTTCCAAGTATCACATTGCAGCATTGATCTGAGTGCAGTACAAGAGCACAGCTTCCCCCTCCTTCCTCTCACACCTCCTCCTGAAGTTATTTTGCACATTTAGAAAACGCAGTAATTGCTATGTGTTTTTCCTTAAGGCACACGAACTTAAGACCCCACTGGCACAGATAAGCTCACCGCAAAAGCCACACGAACCCAAGCAGGAAGCAGCGCCTCCTGCACCTTGGCCACATTGCTGCCCATGTCAGCAAAGCCAGCAAAAAAGGGGAGTGTGAACACCCCCTAAAGGGGACAGCAGTGCCCTTGGACTCGGCTTGACAGAAGGTTTCCAAACAGCACAGCAACAAACGCAGCTCCCTCTCACTGGAAGAAAGCAGTGGCTGAGAAAGCAGCCGCACACAGAGCGCCTCGATGTACCCCGCAGGCACGGACTCTGCCTCCTCGGCACAAGGCTTTGTTTCTTTGTCTCCTGGACTACAAAAAAAGCATCTGTGTTTTTCTCAGACACCACCAAAAATACAGTGCTTCGCTGTACCACAAATAGGGAGTGCTTCTGTCTTACAAAATCTGATCAAAGCACTAAGAGCTGCTAACCACGCTATGGAATACCTAAAAATCCATGGAAACTGCAGCTTGTTCCTCAAGTGCCCACATGCAGGCGTATGGGTAAGAAATAGCTGTTTTAAACTACAATATATTCAGGGAGCAATTTCATCCAATCAATTTAACTTCAGACAAAAGTCTAAAAACATACCCAGTCCTCTTGGAGAACTGAATTAATCCCAGCAAAAAATTATATTCTTACCTGATTTACATAGCATTAACCAAGAATGAACTGAAGGCTGCCTGAGCAGAAGCTCCTCCTGCTATGCCTTCCTCCTACTGCCTGCCCAAGATGCTCCATACAGCCCTATCCCCTGTGCATCTGAATGTGCCTTAATGCATTTTGTTTGATACACTCCTAGGGAGAAGGGAGCCCTTCGCTAGGAAGCTACCCTTGTTTTGATAGAAGATAAAAGGGATCAGGGCCTGGGTACCCCAAGTCCATCTGCCTGCTCTTCCATCTCTCACATACTGATCCTCAGACGCATGCAGCTAACACAAGGCTGGACAAGCCTTTAATCTTTACACTTCTGAACATCATAGAACGTGTAACTACTGACACTTGGAAGTTAGTTGTCCATAAGCTATCTATTATGACTTTGTGTTAAGTACCCGTATTAAGTATCCTAACTGCTTTAATGGCTGTTCTAAATAAGTTAGGATGTGCCTATCCAGCACTCTGAACACAGAGTTCTTGTAATTAAAGAAAACCCAAAGCTTCAGATAAAAAGCCCAAACCTCACACCCTTCACAGTCTGAATCTCAGCACCGTTGCTTCAATTAGCAAATCCCCACTGCTGCATGAGGCCATATGCTTCACTTTGCACCAGTGAAGCTGAAGGGAAAAATCTTTCCATTAAGAGCATACCTCTTCAGAAAGATCTTTTGCTTGGACTACTTTGTGCTTTCAGGTATTCTGTATACAGCACATCTCTCCTGAATGCCACTGCTTAATGAAGACAGACACACCTCTCTCAGAAAGCAAGAAATTGGAAAGAAAATAAACCCAGAACCAAAATCATTTTGTGCAGAGCTTTACGACTGCTGGCAGACATCATAAAGTTTTACTGTGCTAAACATTTACAGCTAAGAAGCAACAAAGAAAGATATACCCAGCTAAAAATATTATTTTCAAATTACTCTCAGGAGCAACACACCTTATGTCAGACAAAATAGATTCCAAAAATGAATAACTAAAAATTGTTACTGGAAAAGAAAGAATTTTATTTCTTCTCCATATTCTAGAATATGGAAGTGAGAACTTAGGCTTTTATCCATCTCCATCACATATTCCTATTGTATGTACTCTAAAAGGGCAACATTTCTTAGGACGCAATCTGGCACCACAAAGCAAGCAGCTGGACCTCTCAGTGGGATGCCACACAGACACTGAAGTTCATTCCCATGCTACACTTCCCAGGAACAGTACCGTAAATAGTAAATATTTCCTGTGATTTGGAATCTAATAGGTCACTGCATGCTGTGATTCAGTAGGGTAAGCAAGAGATACTTAACGATCCTAAAACACCACCCTTCTGCAGTGCTATTCCCACTCCTCTTTCATTACTTGTGAAACTTGTAGAAAGTAAATAGCAGACCTCCTGTGATGAGGTAACAAATGGGTCCAGTTAGTGCTAGAAGTGATCCAGATTTCACTGCCTTAAAACAGTCAAAAAACCCAAACACAAAGCCAAGTCCAAGCCTGCAGTGTAAATACTCGCTATTTCAGAAGGCTTCATTTCAGAGCTGGAAGCCACTGAGATCACAATGAACTCAGATGAAGGTGGAAAAATAAACATAACCTGCTCAGAACATTCAACCACATGCCCTCAAATCTGCAACTATTAAAGAAAGAAAGAAAGCCATACCAAGGCTTTCAAGGCCTGTACTTGCCTTCCTCTACGACGTAGTCTGCTTGAGCCAATGCCACATTTGTACTTGAAGAGATAAAGGGGAAACAGATGGCAATGTAAGTTACAACAGAAATGCCAGCGGAAATTGAGGTAAATAAAGAGCCCAAGTTCAGAATTACCCTCTTTAAAAAAAAAAGAACTATGAAACTACAGGGTGAAAAGAGACCTTCAAATTAGCACTAACTCATTAGTGGATCTTAATAGCAATGGGGCAGAGAGCAGATGTGTTATATACACCTAAAGAAGCAGCATGAAATGCAACCAGCAACTCAGGTGGACATAAAGCAGCTGCTCCTAGCATTGATCATGTTTAAATGAGGTGACTGTGCTACTTGCACAGAACAGCCCTCAAAAAATAAGAGGCAAATGACTCGTTATTTTCAGTAATTCTTAGAGCACTAAGCAAATTCCAGGAGCTTGAAGGAAAGAATTCTGCACTGAAATAGAAAGAGGTTGGACTGGTTGACCCAAGTAATTACAGGTCCATCAGCCTAGTGCCAAGCAAGGCAAACTTACAGAACATTTGATACTGGACTCTAATAATAAAGAATTAGTGAAGGGTAATATAATCAGTGTCAATCAAATTAGCTCTATGGAAAATAGATTCTGTCAAACTGAACTGACATCCCTCTTGATGGGATTACAAGTTGGACTTATAAATTTTAAGAATGTCAATTTAGTAGCGTCAGTAGTGTCAATTGATAGACTCAGTCTTCTATAAAGCACTTGATTTGTTACTGCTTATTAACTGACTAAAAATTAACATGCTACACATTAGATGAATTAAAAAAATATCAGCTGACATTTCAAACAAGGAGTTGTGCATAAGAAGTCAACAGAAAGATGCTTTCCTGTCCATCTCTCTCTGTAAACAGATCTTGGCCTTGAACTGTTAAAACATTTTTGTTGACAAGTAGAAAAAAACCCAAACTCCTGGCTTCAGAATGTTGCAAACAGCAGAAGGACAGGATTAGAGGAAATGAACTAAGACGACAAAACTCAGGTACAGAGCAACTACAGCTCCCCAAAGCACTCCAAGTAGCCTTGGACTATATACCTTCAGACAGCACACACCCAAGATCACAACCCTGCAAACCACAACTCTCAGCGTTATTTCCCAAGCACAAATTTGCAAGGGAGGCAAAAGACTCAGAAATATGGAGATAATCAACCACATGTCAAGCCTGCAATGCTGCCAATAGGGTTACAATGATTCTTTGTAGTATAAAACCCACACATTTGTCTAGGGAAAAAAAACAGTTGCTATAATCCAATTTAGTTGCATGGTTAATTGCCGTTCACCAGACCTGGGCATGGTGCTGTGTTTCATGTTGAATGCCAGTGCCTTGGAGATGGTAGAGAAGCACCATGAAAAGAGCCAGGGTTGAAACGCACTTTCAATCAAAAGGCTAATAGAGACCAATCTGTGCCTGAGATCAAGGTGAAACTTAACAATACGTCAGTATCTGAAATTCAGATTTCCACCCCTCCCAGTAATGTCCATTCTTTGGATTACAGAGAAGTATTAAAATCTATGGTCTCCACTACAAAGAATTACTCATGAAAACAGCAGAGAACAGGAGAGCAACAATGCTAACTTCTTTAAGCTGT